TGCAAACAAACCGGAACCGGACATCAGCTGCCGCCACGCACATGGCTGGAGGTCCAAATATTGTCAAGATGGGGAAGGGAGCTGGGCAGCACTCCGCACTCCCAGAGTGCACTCTTTGTGTATTATGTAATAAGAAAAACGAAATCACATTTCCAGTGCGGCTAATCAAATAGTCGAGCCAGAGAGAGAGGGTAAACATTCAAAGCCATTTGGCAAGCGGTCTCTTCGGACCAAAGGAACACAAAGAAACAGTCCATCAAGGGGCCCGGAAGGAGCGCAAATCGGCTAACAAATGAAGCATTTGACTAAACAAGTGCCACAGCTGGCAAATGGTGCCTGAGAAACTGAGCAGGCACTTTGAGAAAATTGTTGGGAAAATGCATTGAATAGATGTCTCTATAAATTCTAGGATACTCCAGATATTATTGGCAATTTCAAGACATTTAAAAATGTGTTTAACATTGTGGGATATCATTTATTATGTAAAAAATGTAGTGTAATTTTTAGGATTACCATAAATTATTCAATTCAATTATTCAATGTTATTTATTATAAGTTCTAGTGGGAAAAACTCGTTTGTTTTTGTATGTACATTGAACAATTTTTTGCATGAATTCGGACACCTTTTTATGGGCTTAAAACCACCAAATGATTATCTAAAAGTTAGTAAAATTTGTTAGGCAAGATCCTGATACTTAAAAATGTTTCCATCTTAAATAGAATTTTATAAAAGTAATTTAAGGAGTAAATTAAAATATACAACTTTATACAAGGTTTAAAACTATTCCCATTGGGAAAAGGTAAATTAATATAGCTTCCAAAGAAATTTATATGAATATGTTTTCCACATTATTCTAAATTTCTTAACGTTCTCAGAACGAAACAAAGTTGGCCTATAAACATTTCTGTTAACCAAACATTATTTTCCTGAGTGCGTTCGGGCAAGACTAAAGAGATTTTCCCTGGCCGCAAATTCAATTTATTTGCGTCTTAAAGCGTCACCAGAGGCATAAAGCAATAAAGCGGGAAAAAGGATTATCTGGGAAGTCGCATGCTATCCCCGTTGGGTCAGCAAATGTTCAACTCGGAAAACTTACTGTAGAGCAAGGAGAAAAAAGAAGAAAAACATAAGAAACCGTGGCAAAAGTCAGCCAAAGTTGCACAGCACTCGCTGATAGCAAGCAACAAAGAAGTTTTTGTAACCAGGCAAAAAAGTAAGAGACAGTGAGCGAATTATAATGAAAAAAATAAAAGATGGCATTCTTAAACGATGGAAAACTTCTTGGCCGCCGTATGCTGAACAAATTGCAGCACGCACCCCCTCAAGTGGTTCAATTAATTGCAACTCACACAAAATGCATAATGAGGGCTGAAGGCGCGTACTGGCAATACGGGGGACTTGAGGCCCTTAGCCTCCAAGTTGCAGAGTTACGGATTTATTATGTGAGTTACGTGGTGTGTGTGTGTGCGTGTGTGTGGTGTATACTTATCATGTATTATTCAGAGTGTGTCGGGGGTAAATGCATCCATCGAAGCCACAACAAAAGCGGCAAACGAGTGCGTCTCAACAGCGAATTTGCGATGAGTGCGTGAACACGTTGATGTGTATCAATTAATCCCATCTGCGATAGGTACATACTTTCAGCAACTTATTAGTTGGGGTTTTTAATTAGTAAGGTTTTAACACAAACTAGAAACCGCAAATGGTAAAGATTTACTTGAGTTAAATAAGAATGTAAAGTTCGTACAAGTGCATTTTCTTGTACAATTTCTTCACCGAAGAATAGTTTCAAAACTAAAACCAGGTGACCCTGAATTTTACTATATATTTTGTGGACTTGTGTTCGCTTTCACTGCATCGCCATCACTAGTCATTAAAATAGTTGTGAATATATGCAAATGTGTTTCAGAACTCTCAATCTCGGCGGCGCACAAAAGTAGGCAACAAAGACCGGCGGCCGCCATTGTTGCCATCGTCTAGCGGCTTTCAACTTGACGCCAACGCACTTAGACCGCCCCCTTCGCCTCCTCCCCCACACACATACGCACTCTTACACACCCAGACGGGCACACACACACACACGCATCATATCTTGACTCATTAACAGCCCCTGAGCGAGTCGCTGTAAAAGCGTTCCAGTGCAGAGATTACTTTGCCTGATACACCGAGCTCTTTGCTGGGCATTCTAGCCACAAGGACTGGCAAACTGACTTTTAATTACTATAAAATAATGATTTAAGGGATTAAGCATAAAATATATATCATGCGGAGTTTAATTTAGGTAATTTGCTATAGGATAGAAAGGTATTAAATACCTAAGAAATGTTTGAACTATCGTAAATCTTTCTTTAAAGAAGTTTAACTTGAGAATAGGTAATGAAAAAACAATATTTAATATTTTAAACATTTCTTCTATGAAACTGTTCTTTTTTTCTCATAATTCCTATTAAGTTTTTCTCTCTCTAAACATTGTAAATGTTTCCTCATCACTGGTGCTTGGTGTGCTCTGGTTTAGGTCTCAGGCGTCTAGCGCTCAGGATTCTGTGTTCAGTTCAGTAGGTGACACCAATGCGCCTAGGTGTTCTGGCCGGCCCACGACGTCTGGCCTATATAGCGGCCTATAGGAATATAGCCTCACCAACATCCTCCTCCTCCTCCAACAGTGCCACCCAGGCGGGCATCCTCGATGCAGTGCAGCAGACTGCGTGCACTTGACGCTATTGCTCCACTTTTCTTCCGGCTGCAAGAGTTCGTGTGCGTGCATACAGTGGACGTCATAAAAATAGGTACTAGATGCCTTTTATTTAAAAGTTAGACGTGGACAAGTAATATTTATAAATTTCTAGGTCAATTTAGTAGGCAATTTATAATTATTTTTGAAGAAATATCTCAAAATTATTTTGATATATTCAAAGTATATATATCTTATATCTCCCATCATTGTAGAAAAGTGTGTTGTGGGGTGGATCCACATCATCCTCCTCGGTGCCTTAGGCAAACGACACTCTGGGGGTGTGCCATTAGTGTCGCGGTGCGTTACCATAAAAAAGTTGGGAAGCCAAGTAAGTTAAAACAATTCGCACAGTGCGTGCCGCTGGCTTTCAGATAGATTCCCGATATCTGCATGCTGATGTAAAGTTTTCCGCTGCCTTTCGGAACTTTGGTTCCTTTTCTTACACGTAATTATGCAAAAGTTAAAAGCGAGTCGAATTTTGTATTCCGGCGTCTCGCCATTTTCAGCCAGGTAGAAAATCAGTCAGCACTTAAACTGTCGCTGTCGCGTTAAATTATGCAAAGAAGCCAAGTCCTTGCAAGGTGAGTCCGTGAAAAGGTATAAGAAAATGCAAGGAAAACGTTCATTAAAAAAAGGAATAAAAAAATTCAACACATTCGCATTGGTCATCCTTCGTTGGCAGAGCATTTACTGCTGGGAAATGCCCTTTTCGGGCGTTATAATTGCTTCCTGCTTCGGCCTAAATGTGTGTTGGCTGGCCACTTGATGCCAATTGGTTGGAAATTGCGTAAATACGTCGAGTGTGTGTGTGTGTGTGTGTGAAAAGTCAGAGGCACACACTCACTCGGACCGCAGCCTAGGCATTTAATTGCAAGTGACTTCAAGTGCTGGCCACCGATTTGAGGGGCGGCGGGAAATAATAATGAGGCGATTATGCTCACATTGTGGGGGAAAATGCTCCTGCTGCTGCTGGTGGGGATTGGGATTGGGATCGGAATTGCCTGGTTCCCAGGAATTTCACGTTTAGCCCTAATTGTTGTATGTAATAATCGCTAATGCGAATAATTGCCTAATTGAAATCTGTAATTTGATTATAGCTTGAAGCGGAAGCTATTTATATGTATTTGATATCTATGGAAGAGTAATTTGTGCTAAATTAAATGAATTAGAGATCCTGTCTTTGTAGCCTAATTATATTTAAGCAGTAATACTAATACTCCACATACACATTTATATTGGATGATTAAACCCATTAAAATGTCTTGTAATATATTAAATAAATTTACTGCTCAATTAAGAGACATGTTCCTTTCACTCCCAGCCATCTATCTGGGCTTATTTATCACTTATCAGTTATCTCTTCAACCCCTCAAGGGAAACGCTGAAAGCTAATGGCTATTGTCGCCTCGTTATGCGTTCATGGCAATTGGCCGGGCACTTTATATGTTATGTAGAGAAGCGATGGGCCGGCACTTAATTACATGTGTTCGCCGCTCGCGGCATGTCCTCGGCTGTCAATTATGGTGTGTTCGACATGTGTACTCCATCTGCAATTGCCTGGAACTGAGACTGTGAGGAGGGGTTAAAGGACACCTCCTGCAACGGAATGAGTATCAATCACAGCGAACATGTTAAAATAATTTCATTTCACAATTGAAATTAAATGCAGTCGCGTGCCGAGCCCATTTACATGACACGACTATTAAATTAAAAAACATGAATGGACACAGACACTGAAGTGATTGTTTTCCAGGGGCAGGAAAGGGAAAATAATGTTACAATGCAAAAAAATACTTTTAAAATAATGTTAAACAATGCAAAAGAGCAGGGGCAACTTGAAGGTAATTCAAGAGATATTACTTTTGGGGCTGTAACACTTTATAATATAATTTTTAACATATAATAAAGTACCTTTTAATTAACAATTCGAATGCGGAAATCTTTGAGTTTTAAAATAAGTTTTTTACTTTTTTCTTCTACTCTACAAATTATTAAAAGGAAATGCAATATTGTGTTGTGTGAAAAGCCAAATTTCTTCAAGAAAATCGCAGTATATAAACTAATAAAAACCCTATAACTTTTTCTCAGTGCCCTGGCAGCACATGCCATCGTTTAGTCAGCGGCAATCGTTGGCAATAAAAATGGTTTATTGACATGCCACAGCGCCATGGCTCAATGTTTGCTTTTAATTTCTGGCCCTGTCATAATTTGTCAATTGCCAGCTAATTGTTTTCTCATATTCCTCCTTTTTTTATTTACTTTCAGCCTCGATCAAAATGATGGCAACGTCACAGGATTATTTTGGCAATCCGTATGCCCTTTTTCGCGGACCGCCCACCACATTGCGTCCGCGTGAATCGCCCGTGGGCGTTGGCCACGCCCATACGCACGGCCATGGACATATGCATGGCCATGCCCACTCTCACGCCCACGGGCATGGTCATCATGGCCACGCCCACTCGCATTATGCGGCCTTGGACTTGCAGACGCCGCACAAGCGGAACATCGAAACGGATGTGCGAGCACCGCCGCCGCCATTGCCGCCGCCACCGCTTCCGCTTCCGGCCGCATCGCCTAGGTAAGCCTCCCCCCCGACAGAAAAAAATAGAATGAAAAGACGGGGGAGGAAGATGAGAAAGTGGACGGAGAATGATAGTGAGAGAAAACACCAGACGAGCAAAGAATTGAAGAGAAATCAAAAGCTATAAATGCATATCATCAGCAACACTCCCATCAACACTTCTCTGCTAAGTCTGCAATCAACACAACAAAGTCAACATCAGTTTTACGTTTTCTTTGAGTTCAAGTTCGAGTTCAAGTAACACTTTTGAAAAATGCCCTTAAATAATCACGCCCAAAGAGAAACTAAACTTAGATTAAAGTAGTCAATCACTTAAAGATATCAGCTTTCATTTTCAATTTGCCAATGGACTTTGAACCCATCAAGTAAAAGCTTAACTAATAACTAGAGAAATATCACGAGAGAGAGAAATATAATGAATAACCTATTTATCACGAAGTAAAAGTGTTTGCTACCTTAATGAAATGTAAACTAGTGCTTATTTTCTTAACTAAGTAGAAGCTGCAAGAAGTAACACCAATTTAATGAATACAAATAGCCGACTAGTATCGTAAGATAATCATAGAATTTAAGGCAGAGCATTTCAGAAAAGCACTTGTACCGTTCTAGACCTAAGTAACCAAACGTATACGTAATTCAAGCAATCCAATAACAATAACTAAGTAGAGACTTTTCTTCAAAATAAACCAACATAATTCAGATATTTCAAATAATTAGAGATATTAGTATATAGCCAGAAAAGGATAGAAGAAAAGGAGTTGTATACCATAGAGTTCGAGAACTTGCATATATTTAGTAGATGAACACAGCTAAAGTGAAGGGTCCACATGCTACCCTGTAATTACTTGCTATACTTAACCACAACTAACCACTTAGTAGCGCAATAATAGTTATTAATCGATCAAAAGTATACGTAAAACGAAAACGAAGAATTTCCCCAAACAAACTCCTCTTCGAAAGCAATACGATAAACAATAATTAACTTATGCATATATACATATATACCGTATACCACTAAGTTTATGCCTAACCACTATTAGTAGCCCTAAGTCCTAGGCATAGACCGAGCACCATGGCGAGACATGCACCCAAATGTAAAATGCAGAAATTAATTACCACGAGTACAAACTGTAAAGGAAAAAAACCCCTATTGAAGCTCAATTGGCCAGACCACATAACTTCTCCCCCCAGTAGCCTAAGCTGAAGTAGTCCTAAGTACGCAAATTGTAAGGCAAACACTTTTTAAGTGAGTGAAAAATCAAGCAAACTGTGACAATTCGAGGCGTGTGACGATGGAGCAACCCCCCAAATATGATCATCAATCAACATTCCTAAACACCTCCCGGAGGAGCTGCTCTTCAATCAACACTCAACCCGAACTGGTGCCTAATGGCCCGGCAACCTAAAGTTAGTCCCAATTCTAAACTAAAGTAACCAAAGTTATTTAGCCATCATTTCTCTCTCATAAGTCTAGTCAGAAATCCTAAAAAGAAAAACTAAAACTAAAACCAAATCTGCAATCAACAAACCCACAAAATATCCCCACCAACTGGCGCGGTAAGTGAAGAGCCATTTTAATCCTAGCCTTAAGCCTCTAGCCACCGACTAGCCAAGTAGTGACTTACCTCGTAGTGCTAACCACATAGAATTCAACTGCATTTGGATGACGGGGCGGCATAGAGTCCAGATTGGAGGCGCCACCGATGATCGGTGCTGCATGTGATAAGCAAGTGTACGAAAAAAGCAATCCGTAGCTAATCGGCCATAGGCCATCGAAACTTAGCTGCATTGTGCGCATGCCAAACCAAATGAAAAATACGATACATTAAATGCTAACAAAAAAACTAAAAACTGAAAATAGTAAACACTATCCGCCGCAACATGCAACGAATATCGCGTAATTAACATGCAATTTCTTTAGCGAATTTAGCTACACATGCAACATGGACGAACACAAAAAAATTGAGTAATTATTTTACAAGGTCCAAGGAAGTCTAAATGTAGGTATTTCCTTTAAACCATCGCGTTACACGATCCCCTGCCGGGCGATAATCAAATCGAAACGGAAATGTCTCAACAAGCGTCTTAAATATGCACAAAGTGCAATGGCAAGTTCACATGCTAGAGTTCCATTAAAACGCGTACCTGTAATTGTGCTAACACCTAGCATTTGAATTGAGCAATTGGTCACACCGGAAAAGAGTAATCCAGGTCCTGCGGTCACACTGCCGGGCGAAAGTTTTTACAACTTTTTACTGGTTTCAGGGTGCATTTAGTTAACAGAAGGGGTATTTAACAGATTTAAAACAAAAAATACAGAATAAAAAAACATGTTAGTAACTAGTTTTTATTTACTATGGTCACATTTAAAGAAATATACGAACTGGTCACACTGAACATGAGTAATACAAGGTCCTGGTCACACTGACTGGAGAAAGTAGTGCAAGCTTTGTCCTTTTTTGTTTAACCAAGGTTTTCTAATTGGGCTTTTAAAAAAACTATTATTAATAATTCTTCTTCTACTTTAAAACTCGAAAAACATATTTTACTTTCAAATTTAATGAAAATATATATGTGTATATTAGAAACAAATCCACATATAATATAGTAATAATACCTTTTACTAGAGTAATTTGAATGATTTAATGCATTTCCACCTTGGCATATTAATACCTGCATTCCTGCATTTCATATTCAGTCAGTAAACGGAACATGTTCATTTGTTGAAACAGTCGTTTTGAGCGTGTGTTCGGCCATTCGACAAGTTTTATTTCCCTCCGCTCGTAAGTCTGACGTGTTGCATGGCATGTTGCCAACTCTGGTCATGCATTTCCGTCCCAGCGATTTACTGCCGCCATGTGATTAAGTAACACGTGTAACTGCCAAAATCGCTAGTCCTGCCCAGGTGGCCCATGTGCCTGAAACATGGTAATTTGAGGCGCAGCTCATAAAGTGAATAAGTCTGGACAACAAAAAATAAATCTTGGTCGAAATTAGTCTGAGCCAATATTCAGGTAGTTTTAAAGGCGATCCTAAAAAAAGTTATTACCTAGTTACAAATTTAAGGGGTAATAACGAAGAAGCCGTAATGAAAGGTGATGCAGGACATACTATCCTTAAGCAACAAAACCTACCTCTTAAGATTTCTCAGCAGTTTCCTTTTAAAGTATAAATCTGTGTCTAATAATATTCCACTAATACCTTTTAGGAACTTATCATAATAATTAATAATTCTTACTTAGTAAAAGTGAACTTATTTTAAACTTTATGCAGCTCATTTCGTTTTCTTGGCCAAAAGCCTCTCTTTTGTTTGGGTCTTAGCCCAGCTAAGCGACAATTTGGTGGCGTTTAAGTACACTTTAGCATTAAATAACTGACTGAAGGCCCGCGAGTAATCATAATAACCATAATAATAATGGTGCGATGGCCCCAAGTCATGTTACACCATTAGCGCAGAATGCAGAACCCAGATTCCAGAGTCCAGCCTCTAGAGGCGACCCGTCTCGGCTCTGTAAATGCAATTTAATTCTGAGACTGCGAACGCCACTTGGCCAGGTCTAATGAATGCAGCCGACTGTGGAACTGGCACAGGACGAATACAAAAGGCCGGAGCTTACTCCGGAGTCTCCTCTCCTCTCCTCTCATCTCCTCTCGTCTCCTCTCGTCTCGTCCCTTCTGGTCCCTCGGTGTTGTTGGGGTTGCAAACAAGCCAGGCAGCAGCTTCCTGGCGATAAAAGTGCGTATCTCATCCTGCCTCTTTTTGGGTCTCGCTCTTTAAGTGAAAAGGAATCGCCCGTGGTTATGGGCAGGTCTTAACCTGTAATTAAAAACTGGTTAGCCCACATCCTTCCGTTTGGAATTATGTGCACTTATCCGTCCGGGAAGCCGGAAGCCCAAGCGGCCAATCGAGTCCAAATTGTTATTGACCTGCTGCAAGCACTTTCGAGTGTCAAGTGTAATTGCGGAAGTGTCCGTAAAAATGGATGAGCCCCTCCCCCTTAACACCTGCGGCCTTACACACACACACACACACACTGGGAGTCAATAAATCACAATTCAGTAAAGCAGTTAGCTATAGCCTAACCACTTTAAGGCCATGTTCACTACCAACAATTCCCAGCACAGCACAGCATTTGCCACTTGGTTTTTGCCAGTTACACGGTTCAACTTTTTGCGGGCTAAAATGTTTTGAACCCCCTTTCCCCATTCCAGGAAACAAAAGCCAACAAGCTGGTTTTTGTTTTTTGCCCATGCAGTTACACTGTAAAGAAAATTAAGGCGAAAAAATGCTCAAATTAGGTTAATATGATTAGAAATAAAACCTTCTAAGAAATAAAATACAAATTTAAGTTTAAAATAGAGACACATAAAACAAGAATTTATTATAAAAAGTATTTAATTTTCTAGGATTGTATAAAAAAGTTTGAATTTAAAGTGTATTTTCCAACACATTTCGCCCTTCCTTTGGCATTTCCTTGCGGGGAAAGTTTGTCTGTGGAAAACGTGGTGTAAAACGCAGCGTGTCGTCGGGCAACTCCCGCTAATTGGATAAGAATCAGATGTTGGCACTTCATAAACTGCCAGCGCGGGCTCATTAGGGTCTAAGGTCAAGACAGGATCAGAAAGGCCAAAAGTGCTGGGCACCAAATTTAAGAGATGGTCAGCACAAGATATAAAAGTACATTTAACAAAATTAGAAATGGTTAACTAAAGTTATTTGATTTTTAAAGCACTCTCTATGATTTTTTATAAGAAAATAAAACTGCTTTGATTTGATTCATACAAAAACTCGGACTAATTGCCAAGCAATCTGTGTGCAAGAGCTAACAAATTGGCAATGAATTTGATTTCAAGCTTGGACATTCGGTTGTCATTTAATAATTTATTAAAGCAATGCCATCAAAGAGAGGCTTAAGCACAGACACAAACAGTTCGAGGCAAAAGGTGCTGTTGCAAAGTCCCATAGAAATACGCTTTGTAATTAACTTTTGGCAACT